ACAAATGGCCTTAGATCGTGACTTGCAGGGAGTTTTAGAGAGGGTCAGAGATAGCTCCTGGTTGGATGAGCAAAGATACACTTTATTTTAATCTATTAAAGACAGGAATACGCCTTTACTATAAAAGTTTGTACACAGGAGTAACAAATCAGATTTGCTCTTGCAATTCTCTAAAGACGTCTTTGCTTTTTTTCTTCTTCCTTCCTTTCTTTCTTTCTTCTTTTACATCTGTCTCAGGTAAATGAATGTATGTCTCTGTTGTTCAGCAGTTTCTGTTGTAATTTCATACGTTGTCTTCTATTGGATTAAACTCTAATTCTGTGACGTCTGTACTCATTTTTGTTTTCTGTGTGGCTACACGCGGCCCGCCGGGAGAACCTGGGATCCGTGAGAAGAAGATCAAGCTAGAAAGTTTCTTAAAATATACTATATAACTTAAAATCTTCTTCAACAGTATCAAAATAAATAAATTTGGGAGAATCTGCATCTTTCTGCATATAAAACACCTGGAAGTTTTGCTATTTTTAGTAACCAGCAGGTGGCGACAGCCAAGCATCACTGAGCTGTAAGCTACATGTTTGTGTTCATCGCAGAACAAAAATAATTTATAGAAAACATGCCAACATGTCAAAATGAGGGAACAGTCAAATCATCTGAAATGTGAACAAAACAAAGGAGATGCTTGTTGGTTTCAGGAGGAACAGGGTCAAAGGTCAAACCCTATTTCCATCATTGGAGAAGAAGTGGAGGTGATGAGGAACATAAAAACCTGGATGTTCATCTGGACATGAGAGGAAGGAAGAGAAGATCCTTCAGGGTTTGGATCTGCTGTCAGAACCACCAGAACCATCGGAACCAGGAGCTAAAGAGGTTCAACAGCCTGAATAAGAAGGCAGGTTCTTTTCTGGTTCTGACTGTGGGTCCTCTGGTGATGATGATGCAAAGAAGGATTCTTCATAAAATCAATAAAGTTCTGCCGGAGCGTCTTCAGTCAGAGGCTTCTTCAGCGTTGCTGTAGCACAGACTGCTACAGGAGATCCTTCCTGCCAACAGCCATCAGGATCTTCAATAACTGAAGAATCTAAATAAATGATTTACAACATCTCATTTCCCTCTGTAGTTAATAAAGTATTTGTGAATTTGAAACAAAGCGACGGTCAGAGTCTGAAAATGTTTTTATTCAAACATGGATCGTGGTTCTGATCCAGAACTTGTTATTTAATGTAAATAAACAGAACCAAGTGGCAGCGGAGCCACTTTGAAGGAATACACATGTATTTACGGAGCGGCGAAGGTTTGCACCGATGTCCAGACTTCAGCAAAACTTAAATCGTTTTAATGAGACAAAAACGAAAAAAAAAAAAAAAAAATCAGTCAGAGTTCAGCTTTCCTCCTCTTCATCACTCTTCCTCACCTGAAGTGGTGAGGAAGAGGAGCAGGAACTGCTGAAATAATAAATAATCCATAATTAAAGACTCATCATCAGTGATGAGAAGCGTCTCAGCGAAGGTAAAGTGACTTTATGTCCTGTTCTGTTCCGACCCGGTTCACAGCGATGCACTGGGCAGTGAGCCGTGTTCCTCTTCCTCCTCATCCTCTTCCTCCCCCACCTCCATCCAGGGGTGCGTCAGGATCTGCTCCAGCGAGGGGCGGTCCTCCGGCCGGAGCGACAGACACCAGCCAATCAGAGCCTGGCATTCTGCAGGAAGGGGTGGACACAGTCAGCACTACGCACACCTGAACCAATCAGGGCGCAGCGGGTCAGCGCTTACCTTTAGAGACGCGGCGAGTGTAAAAGGGCGTGGCCTCGACGATTTCCTGGTCACGCTCAAACGGGATGTCGCCGCACACCATGTCGAAGAGCAGAACGCCGAGCGACCAGACGGTGAGCGGCTCGGCGCGGTACGACCGCGACTGGACCCACTCAGGTGGGCTGTAGACCCGCGTACCTGCAGGGAGGGGACAGGTGAGGCTCCGTCCACTGACTGACCCATTAGGCCCCAACCACCGCACGGCTCCGTACCTTCGAACTCGTCGTAAGCCGCGTCCTTCAGCAGCGCGCCGGAGCCGAAGTCGATGACCTTGACCTCCAGCGTCCGTGTGTCCACCAAGATGTTCTCGTCCTTCACGTCTCTGTGCACGACGCCATGCGCGTGAACGAACCGCAGCGCTTCCACCGTCTGCCTGAAGAACCTGCAGGGGCGGAGCAGAGACATCAGCGTGGCCAGGGTGGCGGGATGTTGCCAAGGTATGGAGCGCAGGCCCACCTGAGAGCGAGGCGTTCGGGCAACGCGCCGCGGTCCGTGATGAAGTCGAACAAATCCCGGCACTGTGGCGGCCGCTCCATCACCAGGAGGAAGCCCCGCCCCTCCACCTCGAACCAGTCCAGCATGCGGATCACGCCGCCGTGACCTCCGACCTCACAGAGCCGCTGCAGCAGGGCAATCTCCATGGGAACCGGGCCGAGCTCGCCAGGCTGCGGGAAAGGAAGACGCCAGTTAAAAAAGCACAAAATAAAGGAACTATTTAATTCACTACAGAACCGGTCTCTGGGTGTGGGGGGGCTCCCAGCCTAAGGAACCAGTGCATCACTGGGGGAAACCCACTTATGGAACAATGACATCACAGGTTTCCGTGGGAACCCCCATCCTGCAGTTCTGCTGCCTGTCCAGCAGAGGGAAGCAGCCGCCTGGGTTCAGGTGGAAACTGAACTGGTTCTGGTTCTGGAGGTGAGCCTCACCAGTCTGGCCCACTGCTGGACCTGGTCCCTGGAGATCTGCTTGATGGCGACCGGAAGTCCGTCTGAGAGTCTGTGACCCGAAAACACAGAACCGAAGCCGCCGCTGCCGATCAGCGGGCCGCAGCGGTACCGCAGGGTGAAGGCTTCCTTCCCTGGATCAGAACACAGAACCACATCAGAACCCTCAACACACACATATATATACATATATTATTATATAATAACTCAGGAAAAACTGTTTAACCCTTTAAAGTTCTGGTTCAGTCCAGTTAGAGAAACTAAGTTATTCTGCAATAAACATCGTTTAAAACGACACATGAAACAATAAACTCCATCTTAATGTTTTATATAAATATAGTGAAGCCTATTTAAAGATCTGTGACTTATAATATTTGTTCTGTTCAGTCCAACTTCTGCTGCCAAAGACCAGAAACACGGTGCAGAAACAGAACGGAAACCATCTTTTGGTCCTCACACTTGTTGTGAATGGATCACAATTCGGCCCATGTTTGATGCTGAACCGGAATCGATCAATGGTGATTCATTACTTTACTATTTCACCTTTAGTAAAGGTGAAATAGTCCTTTACTAAAGCGACCAATCAGAAGCCAACTTCGCCACGGAGCAGCCAAAAAAAGAAAGAAAAGAAAAGAAACGTCATAAAAACCCGAATTAATGGACCAGAACCAGATTTTCCGGAACCGGTTTTGAATCTTAAAGTAGGAATGCAAGTAAACTTTATTTATATAGCACATTTACAGGTCAGAAACCGCAAAGCACTTCATAAAATACCAAACTCTGAAGAAAAACCTCAGCTTACCGCGTCGTTTGTCCTCCAGGTTCGGATCCGCGGATCTTTTCTCCAACATCTCCCCGAATTTGGCTCACTAGGAGCGGATCATAGCCACGGTGTCTCCTCGGATTTTATCGGTCCAAAAGGTTCGGTTCGGGTTTTTCCCACTTTGATGTGTCAGTTTCAGAGCCCGGAAGGTTCTGCTGGTCCAGAACCAAATGATACCGTCCTGAGCTGGCAGCAGGTTCTGGACCTGCTGGCTTCAGACTTTATAGCTTTCTGAGGCCACGCCCACCCCGTGCTCCTCATCCAATCAGCGTCTCACAGTGTGCTCAGTGTTTTGAACTGAGCAGCCAATCGGATTGAAGCTCATGAATATTCATACAGCGCGTGGGGAAGAATTTGTAGAATTGAGATCAACGAGGCGGGGGAGCGCGCGCTGACAAACTGCCGGGAAGCTCGAGGCCGATTTCCTCTCAAACATCAGTGCGCGCGCGCACACAGCCACAGAAACTGAACACGCGCACTGCTTTAAAAAACACTGGGCGGTTACTCCGACGCGCACGAAGCTTCCTGTCGGTTTGTGAAGCTGTTGATGCGTTCAGGGGACAAGAGGGAGTCGTAACTAATCCAAATTTAACCAACACCTTAAGCCTTAAGTAAATAATTGACAGAAATGTACAAAACATTTCCATAAAAGAAACAAAACTTTACAATTAATGATTTTCAACTTCAATGAAGGTTCCATTTTTTTCTTTTTATCTTTTAACACTATTAACACACATCCATCCATTAGCTGTTGAGTGTAAACATATTAAAATGACTAATTTCAAGCATGAAGTTTATGCTGATGTGAAATATTCTGAGTTTCTCAACATCCACAATTGGCCTAATTTTCTCAGAGGGGCCCTGAAGGCAGAATGACGTCACTTCCTTCAGAATCAACCTTTCATGCTGCTTATCTTTACAAAAACAATTAAAAATCTAAAGTGCAAAAACTATTTCTGTAGGGTCAGAGTGGAGACAGTTTTAGTTTCTGGGTTTATTTACAAATATTTATAATATTTATAAATATTTCAGATTTTCAAGATGAAAATCTGAAAAATTAAACATTCTCATGAATGAGACTGGACTGGATTTCTGGTTCTGGTTCTGCTGAACCCAGACAGGCAGCATCACCATCCCTCACTGGAGCTCATTCATCAGAGGAACCTGCAGCTTTGGGCCGGTCCTTCAGAACCGGAGGGAACTTGGAACCAGAATCCAAACCAGAGGAAGCTGAACTCAGAACCAGAACCAGAACCGGTTCCAGCTTTACAGACGGCTGGAATCATGAAGCTCTCAGCTGCTTTTCAGAAACTTCCTCTTTTTATTCCAAGAAACAAAAAAAGTTTTCATCCAACTGAGAAAATAAAATAAAACAAACTTATATTAATAATAGCAACAATAATCACTGAGGATCAGAAAGACATTTTCTATTTTTCTCTTTAATTCGTTTCTGCTATGATGAACTCGGCTGTTAAACATGCAGCTAAATAAGTCTGATGATGAAGGTGACGATGAGGAGGCCGGGAATGATCAGCACCTAACAGAACATGATAAGACTTTTGATGACTGAACAGAACCGGACCGGATCGGTGAACAGAACCGGACCAGGTCGTCCTTCATTGGAACCACGGAGCAAAACTCGAGCTGCTGGAAGCCGTCCACATTTAAATAAGATCTGATCCCAGATCAGCGTGAAGACCCGCCGACCCCGCCGACCCGGAAGTGGAAGTGATGCTGGAAGTGGGAAACAGGAAGCGGATGATTTAAAAAAGGAAATGAGTGCATCGTTGTTGGATGGTTTATTTTCTCCATGTTCGAGTTCTGTCTGTGGGCCGGGGGGCGGGGCGGGGTCACGGCGGGGTCAGTGCATGGCAGCAGTGCATCAGCTGCTGTCCGGCGACGGCTCGCGCTCCCGATGCATGGCGGCGGCGGAGCTCTGGTGTTTCATGCTGTCCAGATATTCCTGCTGGGAGACGGCGAGCACCGAGGCCAGGATCTCATCGTCCTCCCAGTCCGTCAGACCTGAAACACACACCAGTGAGACCAGTCAGATCAGTCCAAAGGTGAAAAATGTCCGTCTGTACAATTTCATTTCAAGCCGTTGGGATAAACCTGAGCCTGCGTTGTATCAGTTGGTCGCAATAAATGCCAATAAAACATGAATGGAAAATATGCAGGGTGTGAAAACTTGGTGAAGCTCAACCAGCTGAGGACTCGTCCACAAACATCCTCTAGATGCATCCTGGGTAATATGTCAGTCAGACAGCAGATGTACCGTTCTTTACTGGAAGCACTGGTTTTGGGGCAGAGCACCTCTTAAAGCGGAGGAAAGACAGAGGCTGATCTTGGATTGCTGCGGTGCTTAATTGGACTCCCAATAAAATAATTTATGGTTTCTTAGATGAAATAAGAATAGATCCAACAAAAATAAGAACAAATAAAATAAGCTAAAAGTCAGACTCCTACCAGCACCAGGACAAACTGCTCCCCTCTGCTGGAAGCCAATCAATCCCACAAATCAACGCTTGCATGAACACAGATTAGCAATTAAAATATCTCAGATTATAACTCAACACTATAAATCCATACTGCTGAGCTCTTCCTGCTGCTGAATGTGATCTACTCACATCTAGAACCAGCTGTGCTCTAGATCTACAACTCTAGATTGTTCTAGAATAACTTCAGTTTCTGTTCAGACAGTTTTGGCTCATCCACACATTTGTCTGTTCTCAGCATCTGTTCAATGATTGGATGGATCAATAAACATCTGGTGACATCATAATGTACAGCTGTATATCATCTGTGTTGTCATGGTAACTGATCTTATTTCCTGTTATAAGCTGAGCTATAACAGGACAAGGAGAGGCGTGGGACAGAAATCGCTGCCCTGATTCCGTCACCGCGCTTTCAGCAGGCGGCGTTCTGGTTCCCAGTCGAGGGAAACCACACGCTGCAATATTGGCTAAAGATTACCCAACATGCTGGATATCCCCGATTTTAGATCAGGGTGGTGTCGGCGTTCTCCCGAGTGGACCAGATCAGTCTTAAGGACCACGGCAAGACGATCGCTATGGATTATCTTAAGAGTCATCCAATAATTAGGGCAATTGTTGGAAGGGAAAATTGGGATAAAAATTTGCGTAAAGAGTAATCTAACACGATGCCATTTCAAATCCAGTAATCAGATTAAAGTAACTTATCCAAATCACTTTGCGTTACTATTTTCTTTTGTAATTAAATATTATTTCCTCTGCGCGTCTTGGGGAGCGACCGCCGTTTCTATGCGACAGAAACAAACAATGGAGAGAAATGCGCTTTTTGTTGCTGGAGGAACAGGAACTATTTTGAGTTTCAAGTCCGATTATTAGAAGCAGTTTGGGCTTGTTTTCTTCTAAAGTCGCTTGCAGATTTAACGAGTTGCGGTTTTTGGGCTTGGAAATAAACAGACATAAACCCCAGAATTTGTCTGACATCCAGTTAATTTTAGTCCATCATTTGGATGATCCGTTAAAGTCAAGTTCATATATTTGCTGTGAATGACGTCGAGCTTCGCGTTGCGCTCCAGAAAACATGGAGACTAATATGAACAGGGCAATTAAACGTGAAAACAGCCCCGAATGAACGTGTCTGTAAAGTTGTGCAACTAAACGGCATTATAATTATTAATATAAAGATAAATGTCACAAATCTGTGCAGCCATCTGAGTTGTGGTAGGAGCGCTGCGCTCTGACAGCCACAGGGCCGTAACACAGAGCCTGGGGGCTGGGGCTGGGGCAGGGGAGTGCAGGGGGGGCCTGGGGCAGGGGGGGCTGAGGCTCTAAAGTCCTATTTATAGTTTTCCAGATAACAGTGGAACACAAAAACACTCACAAATTACCAAAGGGTTTTATTTTGTACTGTTGTAGCCATTAAACAGTCTCAGTTCAACCTTATAAGTGGAGACACATTGTTGATGTTACCATTATAAAATAACTTATAATTAAGTTTTGGCAAAGATCAATGTAATTTTCACAGGTGGTGGAGCGTTGTTGTTGTTGTTGTTGTTGTTGTTGTTGTTGTTGTTGTTGTCAGCAGCTGCTGAAAGTAACTAAAAAAGTTACTTTTAATGTAACTTAGTTACTTTTTCAAGGAGTAATCAGTAATCCCATTAAAGTTACTTTTTCAAAGTAACTATGCCATCACTGTTGGTCACCACAGGTCACACAGAGCCATCCTCTCAGAATCAGCTAATGCTAATGCTAATGCCAGACTAAGATCTGTATGCCATCACTGCCCTGAAGCTCAGAATTTCTGGAAAGTGATTTATAAATTTATATTTAAATGTACAAATCACTTTAATCATTTATGTTTAAAAATATGTCAAATCGATAATTCAAAAACAGCTTTCTCCAACATTATTCACTTTGGGGATCTGTCTCCAATTAAACATTTGCCCTCCAACATGGCGGAACGCTCCAGACTGCATTAACGTCGGCTGTTATTTCTCAGTGGAAAGACTCCATCCACCCATCACTACTACTACTAGTCTTTCTCAAACTGTGGTCTCCGATCACTGGTGGTCCGCGGGCGCCCCCTAGTGCTTCGCCAGGTACTGCATGTACACAACCGTTTATTTTCCGTGACGTCAGCTCAAAGTGCGACGCTACAGCTAGCTTAGCAAAGGATTGTATTACAAATAATGATGGAAAACTGGCTTAAAACCGGGTCACTCAAAAGAAAAGCTGCAGGAACCTGTGGAAAGAAAACAACTCCAGGAATTTTATATGACCTGAGGGAGTTCAGTCATAGCTACCAGCGACTGGATTCCTTTGAACGGGTAGGAATCGACTCAGTTACTGAGAACTGTTCTTTGTTTTTTATAACTTTGCTTGGTAATGAATGATGCTCTGCTTTCAGGTCACCTAACTGTTATTTTTATTCAATTAAAAACTATTAAATTGAATTAAATAATAAATAAATACAAATAGAAATGGTTAGTTGTTTATTTTTCTTTAATTGTGCTTCTAAATCACAAATAGCCCTAAATGTTATTAATGCACATAACACTTGGTAGTAAAGAACAACTTATTTTTTATTTCCATGACATCATTGGAAAGCTTAGACACTTTAAGAATCTGTAAATAACTCAAAGTAGATGTGTTCATGGCTCTGTCGTCACATGTACCAAACAGCACCACTCTTCATTAGGAAGAACTAAGAAAACAACAATACCTGAGTTAAGAGACTAATATTTTCATTTCAGGTTGGATTATTTATTAAGTTATGTTATAGCGGGAAGATTTCAGGTTTGGTGGTCCGTGACTGTTAAATGGGGTAAGTGGTCCTCAGCCTGAAAACGTTTGAGAAACACTGTACTGGTACTACTGCTGGTAATACTACTACCCTCTTAAATGGGACCCATTCGTACCCAGACTGCAGGGCCCAGTTAAGGGCTGTTCATCTGTCAGCAATCGGTTTGTCTTTACAACTAAAAACTGGCCAACCTGAGTCTTTTGTTTTTTAAATATGTGAAATGGGCTCCCACCAGGCGTTCTGGGTCCAGAACCAGGCGGTTCTGATGAAGTACAGCTTTTTGAATTCTCTGGCTGCTTACTGTGTCCTCTGACATACGGTAGGTCCCATCTGGATCCAGAGGGTCCCAACCAGATCCACGGATCAGCCCATCCTGATCAGCCCTTGTTCTTCTGGGACAGTGATGTCACTCTGTCCTGTGATTGGATGGAGGACTTTTTGTAGTTGACAAAATGGAGTCTGTTTGCGGTGAGTTTCAATCTGGCTTGGTTTGTATGGACTTCATCTTGTCTGTCAAGATCCAAACGTTTCCAGGAGATTCTGAGATTCTGTTAGCCCAGAGGTGTCCAAAGTGGGTCCGGGATGCATGTTTTAGTTCTCTACCTGGTTTAACGCACCTAGATCCAATGACGGCTCGTTAGAGGAGAACACTGACTTGCTGAGGAGGTTGTTTCTACCATCAGGGAGAAAATAAAACATGCAGGATGCCGGGCCTCCAGGACCCACTTTGGGCACCCCTGTGTTAGCGCTTAGCCGTTAATCAGGAGCCGCCCGCTGTGGCTCTCATGAGACGGTGGTCCACTGACAAACGCCTTTAGCTGTGGAACGGGTTGGAATGGATCGGAACCAGGCAGACGATTTTACTTACCGAACGCTGTGGGAGACATCTCCTGCATGATGGCCCGGTACTCCAGGTGGTGCCGGCTCTGGTTGCTCGGACCTGAACACAGAAACATTCAGCAAGTCAGCGACATGGACAGAACCTTCAAGTTCTGGTTCTGATCCGGTTCAGCAGACAGCTAAAACTTGAGCTTCAACATTGGAAAGAATGGTTCGGACACAAACCAATCTCCATTCTTTGGACTATTTGCAGGGTTCCAGTTTGGTTCCTAACAGGACCCAAACTGGAACCGTGGACCCGATCCAAACTGCAGTTCCCTCACGCCCATCCTGACTTTGTTCTGGTTCTGTTGGCTCCTTGGGATCTGATGATGGTTCTGTCCGTGCTGCGGGCTCAGGTCCAAAGATCGGCACCAGATCCATCGGTCCGGAGTGTCAAAGTCAAACTGGGCCACGATCAGAAATTCAGTCCAAATGGACTTGAGGTGCTGCGAGACTCAAACTTCCAGATGGAAATCATTCGGATCTGTTCATTACTAAGCCTTAAAAAGTTCTGGATTATTTGGTTCTTGAGGGAAAATTTACATTTTTATGGAATTTAATGTTTTTACAATGCTTCTAAAACAGGAAAAATGTCTTTCAGTTACAAATTTGAGGCTTGAGATCCAAATCCTGGTTCTGAGGTTCTGGTTGCTCTTCTGGACTCAAACAGGGTTCACCTGGTTGTAGAAAAGCTGTTCCCCTGAACCGGCACCGGTTGTCTGCTTCTTTCTGAGGGAGCAGTTAGCAGGCTAATGCTAGCTCATTTCTGTCTGTGGCTCTGGAAGAGAATTTGGACCAAAGCACGTTCTCTCTGCAAGTCCAGTTCATCAGAACAGGTTTTCGGCTTCAGGTGGTTCTGACCCAGTTAGCTGAAGCTCAACAGTAGTCAGAACCTGCTGACCAGAGTCAGGGCTGCGTAGAACTTTATAAACATGTGAGACCCGGCGAGGACCAACGTGGATCGGTAGAACATAGTGGCGCTACAGCGAGATTCTGCAGCTCCAGGTGCAGTGTCTCTGCGGTCTGGCTACCAGTTCTGGTGAGTTGGGCTTGGGACAAAGACCTCCAAGATCTGACCTGGTTCGGTTCGACTACCGAGCTTCAGTGGCAAATACTTGAGAAGATGCACTTCCTGCTCGCCGTCAGCACGGAGCAGGAAGTGACATCACTGTGTGTGTTACCTGGAGCGCAGGGCGACGGCGGTTTGCTCAGGATGAGGGCAGCTCCGGCGGGGGACGGTGGCTTGTTGCCGGCCGGTGCAGCGGCCGTAAGGTCAGAATGGGAAGGGTCAGAGTCCCGTTGCCGCGGCGACCGGGCGCTCCAGTCGTCTGGTCCGCTAGAAGCAGCCGCGGTGGCCGAGCTGCAGGTGGCGCTAGCTTTACGAGGCTGCAGGAAGAAGCAGAGGACAGCGTTACCTGGAGCTCCGCCCACTTTGATTGCATACCACCAGGTTGCTGGATTTGATGTTGGCATTTCAATCAATGGACGTTAATTGGCTAGAATTGAATGGTTGTTTGATGGTTGATCCAGCTTCTGTTGTTGACCTTAACCATGAATTCAACCTTTGTGATCATAATTCAACATTTAATTAACATCTTTTACAAACAAGCCAACAGCAAAGTGTGGCACTTTGATTGAATGCTGCCAGGCTTTAGTTTCCCCCCCGCCAGGTTAAGCATGGCTTGTTTTTGTTTTTTATATTAGAAAATAAAAAAAATACAAAAATACAAAATTTAAATAAAATTATTTTGTTTAATAATCCAGACTGCAAGAGTCTCTGCCGCTCTGAGTATTTTACTGGCAGGGCAGAATCATTCCTGGGAGATGAGTTTATAGTTTTTATAGTTGATGCACTGAACGGGGAACAGACCAATCACACCGCTGGTGCTACGTGCAGTCGCAGCTGGATCTCTGAAGTTTACTTCACCATGGATCACTCACCTGTATGACATTTACATCAACCCTGTGTGAAGAAGTATAGTTCTTTGGAGAACTCATCAAGGTAAGATTCAAACTCAATGTGAACTGCTAATATAGGTGCATGTTTAGAGGATGATTTATCATTGTGAAAAAAGCAGCGTGTGCATTTACATCTCAACACGCTGACTCTGTGTCTGTGCTGATTATTAGAGATGTGCCGATCAGGTTTTTTCCTGCCGATACCGATCACATAATTATTATTTTTTTTAATCATAAGCACTACCGGTTACATCATGTGGAAAAAGGAACCATGAATCCACCTTAATTTAGACAAAAAACTTGTTTTTAATAACTTTTTCCAA